GCTACGCCCTCTTCCCGCAGCGCCGCACCTTCCTGGAGGCCTGGCGGGCTTGCCGCGAGCTGGGGGGCGACTTGGCCACGCCACGGACCCACGAGGAGGCGCAGCGTGTGGACAGCCTGGTGGGCGCCGGCCCCGCCGGCCGCCTGCTGTGGATCGGGCTGCAGCGGCAGCCGCGGCAGTGCCAGCCGCAGCGCCCCCTACGCGGCTTCACGTGGACCACGGGAGACCAGGACACGGCTTTCACCAACTGGGCCTTGCCAGCCACGGGCGGGCCCTGCCCGGCCCAGCGCTGCGCCGCCCTGGAGGCGAGTGGCGAGCATCGCTGGCTCGAGGGCTCGTGCACGTTGGCCGTCGATGGCTACCTGTGCCAGTTCGGCTTCGAGGGCGCCTGCCGGGCGTTGCCGGAGGAGGCGGGCCAGGCCGGCCCAGCCGTCTACACCACGCCCTTCAACCTGGTCTCTACCGAGTTCCAGTGGCTGCCTTTCGGCTCCGTGGCCACCGTGCAGTGCCAGGCGGGCAGGGGTGCCTCTCTGCTCTGTGTGAAGCAGCCCAAGGGTGGCGTGGGCTGGTCGCGGGCTGGGCCTGTGTGCCCAGGAACTGGCTGCGGCCCGGACAATGGGGGCTGCGAACACCAGTGCGTGGAGGAGGTAGATGGGCGCGTGACCTGCCGCTGCTCCGAGGGCTTCCGGCTGGCAGCGGATGGGCGCAGCTGCGAGGACCCTTGCGCCCAGGCCCCGTGTGAGCAGCAATGTGAGCCCGGTGGGCCACAAGGCTACAGCTGCCACTGTCGCCTGGGTTTCCGACCCGCTGAGGACGAGCCACATCGCTGCGTGGACACCGATGAGTGCCAGATCGCCGGAGTGTGCCAGCAGATGTGCGTCAACTATGTCGGTGGCTTTGAGTGCTACTGCAGCGAGGGCCACGAGCTTGAAGCCGATGGGATCAGCTGCAGCCCTGCGGGGGCCATGGGTGCCAGGGCTTCCCAGGGCCTTGGGGACGAGTTACTGGATGACAAGGAGGATGAGGAGGATGAAGATGAGGCCTGGGAGGCCTTTGATGGTAGCTGGACTGAGATGCCGGGGATGCCGTGGATGGAGCCTACACAGCTGACTGACTTCGGCCTGGTCTACAGACCAAGCTTCCCAGAGGCCCAAGAGCCTCAGAGGCCCTACCCAGGGCCCACCTGGCCACCCCCACTCAGTGCGCCCCGAGTCCCCTACCACTCGGCAGTGCTCTCTGTCACCCGGCCTGTGGTGATCTCTGCCATGCGCCCCACACTGCCTTCTGCCCACCAGCCCCCCATTATCTCTGCCACACACCCACCCCTGGCTCCTGCCCATCAGCCCCCCATGATCCCTGCCACGCACCAAGCTTCACCCCCTGACCACCAGTTCCCCAGAATCTCAGCCAACTATCCAGATCTTCCCTCTGTTCACCAGCCCCCTGTTATCTCAGCCACTCGCCCAGCACGGCCCCCTGCCCACCAGCACCCCCTCATCTCAGCCACTCACCCAGCACAGCCCCCTGCCCACCGGCCCCCCATTATCTCAGCCACTCACCCAGCACGGCCACCTGCCCACCAGTCCACCATAGCCCAAGACACCCAGGTCACTGATACCCAGACCACCACTCATTTGCCTCGAATTCCAGTTAACCATGCCCCTCTGGTCACCACGCCCAGTGCCCATCAACCCCCTCAAACCCCAGATGTTATGGTGCTCAGAGCCCAGGCCACCCAGCTTCCCATTACCCCAACTGCCCAGCCCCCTCTGACCAATGCTTCCCAGTCCCCTGTGCCTGCTGCCACCCAGCCCCCTGCCCTCCCCACTCCCCTGCCCTCTCAGAGCCCCACTAACCAGACCTCACCCAGCAGCCCTACACACCCCCATTCCAAAGCCCCTCAAGTCCCAAGGGAAGGTGCCCCTGACCCCAGGCTGGCCCCATGGCTGCCCTCAGCGGCCCCCACAGCAGCCCCAACAGCCCTGGGGGAGGCCAGTCTAGCAGGTCGCAGCCCAAGGGATGACCGGTGGCTGTTGGTGGCACTGCTGGTGCCAACGTGCATCTTCTTGGTGGTCCTACTCGCACTGGGCATTGTGTACTGCACCCGCTGCGGCCCCCATGCGCCTAACAAGCGTGTCACTGACTGCTATCGCTGGGTCACCCATGCTGGGAGCAAGAGCTCAATGGAACCCGCACCGCCCCGGGGCAGCCTCACAGGGGTGCAGACCTGCAGAACCAGCGTGTGATGGGGTACAGCCCCCCTCTGCAGGGTAGGGGGAAGGGGTGTGCGCTGGACACATGGCTGAGGCTGCACCAGGGACCCATGGGGGCCGCCCACCTGGACAGAGGGTTGCCTGCTCCCCCAGCCCAGCCAGGCGCCTTTCCCATCAGCCATGACTTGACTCATGGGAACTCTGCTCCCGGCCCAGTGCTCATGACAGAGCAGAGGCCAAGGCCCCCAGGACCTCAGGGGGTGGGTGCTGGGGTCTTCTCTAATAAACGGGGTGCCAATCTCACCCAAAGCTCCTGGCCCCCATTGGTGCCTGAGGGGAGGGTCAGAGAGGACAGAGGAAAAAGGAGGGGGTGTTCCTTCAGCGTGGCTGGGCCCCCAAGGAAGTAAGGTAAGACCCCTTGAGGGAGGGTATGTTTCAGAGATTCTTGGGGAGGCAGAAACCCAGATAGGGCATAGCCTTGCCCAAGGTCACACAGCGAGTCCAGGAGTGGTGGTTTGGAATGAGAATCTGTATCTCTTCCTTTTTTTTTTTTTTAACCGAAACTCTGAGAAGGTGGGGATGAATCTGGGGGAAGGTTCTGGAATAAGGGCTTCTGCTGGACTGGAGTCAAACTGGGGCTCAGGGGCCAAAGGCAGGCTCTGGACCTAGGGTTATGGCGAGCGAGGGGCCGGCTAGTGAGTGAGACTCTCCTAACTTGCTTCTAGTACTTCCCTTCCGATGCCCGCAGGCGGCCCAGAAGTGGAGGCTGGGGTTCAAGGTCACCCGAGGATGCTACTACCCCCTTGTGTTGTGAGAGGTCTGAGGAGAAGGTGAGGGCCAGAGGCGAGCAAGCTGGGCATAGGAGAACAAGGAACCCGGGGAGAAATACCCCGGACTGGGATCCCACCTCCAACTCCCCAGCAGCCTCACAAGCACGACTTTCCCTTCTGGGCCACACTTTGCTCTTCTCTGTGTGGGCTGAGGGTGGTGTGGGGACAGAGAGAACCCAGGAGACCTCGGATGAGCTAGAATTCAGGCTGCTCAGAGCTGAGGTGTCCCAGGAGCTGGAGGAGGGGCTGTTCAAAGATCCAGCCTGGGGGGACACGGCAGCCTTCCTCCCCTGCCGGTGCTCACAGCCTTGGGGAGAGGGGCGGGACCTGGGCGGGGGAGGGGCCGGTTCCCACTGCCCCTGTAATTTTTCAGTTGCAGCCTCTCCGGGGCCTCTCATTAGGACGGGGCAGGGCCGTTACGACCACCCGGACAGGCGAGGAGGGGCAGCCCAGAGCCCCTTTCCCATACCAGAGTCCTACGCCACCCTCCGGCCGTAAGAGCTGGGCCGGGGTTGGAGGGCTTGGCCTGGGCCTCAGGGGACCAGGAGAGGAGGGGCCGGAGCTGGGGACGAACCCGGGGGCCACCGCGAAGGGGGCGGAGGAAACGCTACGCACCGCCCGCGGACCCGCTCTCACGTTTCCCTAACTCAAACCAGACGCCTCCGCCAGATCCTGCCCAAGCCTTTAACCTCGGAAACGCCACCGGGGAGGTTTGCCGGCTGCGGGTGGCGGTCGCGGGCAGCCCAGACGCCTGAGTCCTGGAAGAAGGTGCAGGCGCAGCATTGAGGGGAGGGTGACAAAACCTGTCCGGACGGGAAGGATTCCCTCCCGCGACCCCGGGTAGAGGATCCAGGACGCCTCGAGGGCAGGAAAGAGTTAAATGCACTGCCATTGGAGGGGAGGATCGGAGTGGGGAAGGGGGCCCGGAGCCGGCTCTTTGTCATCCGGTAATGAGCACCAGATGCGGAGCTGCGTGCGGGCCTAAACAGACCGCCTCCCAGGGCAGAGCCCCCGCCTGCGCGAGCCCAGCTCCGCCGAAGCCGGGGCGGTATCGCAGGCTCCGCCTACGGGCTCTCAGGCCCCGCCCATACTGGCGCGGCCCAGCCAGGCTGACTCGGGAGCTATCAGCCCCGCCTTTCGGAGCTACGAGCCACGCCCACTAACTGTTGTCAAGCAGCTCAGAGATTCCCACAGAACTATTTGTTCCAACAGCCCCGCCGAGGCCTGCGCCGCTGGCCCCGCCCACCAGTGGTATAAGCCCCACCTCCTCAGAGCGGCCTGCGGAGAGATTGGCTCCCTGGAGGTATTAACTCCGCCCAGAGTCCGCAGCATGCTCCGCCTAACAACTACAAGCTCTGCCCCTTCCAACAGCCCAAGACTGTCCACGAGTGCCGGGAATCCCGCAGAAATACCAACTCTGTCCCAGAGTAGAGGCAAACTCCACCCTCCAAGAGTGTCCACGTTCCCCTCACGCGCCTCTTCAGGCCCCGCCCCCAGCTACAAGCCCTGCCCCCTAACCGTCCTCCCAAAATCGCAGGGGCTCCGCCCCAGACCTGCCAGGGGAAGAGCTCCGTCCACTTATGGTCAACACACTTTCCCTTCATACTGAGGTCATGGCCCCGCCTACACTAAGCCCCAGGGCCCGCCCACTTAAAAAAACCCAAACCCGTTCCTAGTTGGCCCTGTAAGCCCCGCCCACCCAGGGCATCCCCTGCTGCGGGCTTTGAGCTCGAGGACCGCCCACGCAGAGAACATAGAGTAACCTCTTTTCTCAGGCTCCGCCTCCTGCGAACGCATAACCCCGCCCACCTTAGGCTCCACCTTCTTGTGCAAGCTCCGCCTCCTCTGGGCCCTGGTCTCCAACCGCAGTCTGGGTTTTCCCAGACGCACGAGTCCTTCGAGCCCCTCATCCCTGACCGGCACGTCGCTGAATGTCGACGAGGCGCTCTCTCTCCTTCCTCTACCCGTGGCTTCCATTTGTTCAGATTCCGAGTTCTCTGGACGGAGCCCAGACGGCGTCGGGAGTTCGGCGAATGGCGTCGATGAACGGGCCTCTGACGCCACCTGCCGTCGGCGCCGTGGACTTGCAGGCAACGGGGCCTCACTGCCCTCTCCTCCCCTCCGCCCCCCAAAAGCATGCTGTTGTTATTAGCTGCCTTCCAGTCAGCGGCGACTCCTGCAACCCCATGCAGAACGGAACGAGATGAAACACCACTGCGCCTCCCAAAGCGTGCAACTGAGCAATAAATAATTTCTTAATTTATTAAATATTTGTTTTAGCCAAATATCTACCGACTCCCCTCGCAGGTGACTGGATGTCCTGGTCCGCAAACCATCCTATGAATCCTGTTTCCCAAGGGGGAGAGCGCAGCATTCCTAGCACTGCAAAGTGTAGCCATCTTTCCTGGTAATGCGTGTTTGGCAGCTGTGTGCTCTGGCTCAGACGCCCTCCTGTGGGAGCTGAGAGTCACAGCGCTTACCGCGGGTAGATGGCTACAGTGTCTCCGGGCAGACAGACCTCTAGCTCCGCGCCCACCACTTTATTTGAAAATATTTGCCTGCTCACTCCCACCCTAGACTGGGTGCTGGGAGGAGACTTCATTGGGGCAGACCAGGGAGTTAAGGGAGGAACTAACACCCTCTGAGCCGGACTTGGTGCCAGCACCCGCTAGGCACCCTTAGTCCTGCATTGGGCACAGTCTGGAGGTCAAGTGCCAACCTTGCCTACAGCCACCTCTTGACAAACGCAGACCTGGAGAATATGGGATTGTTTCTGCACCAGGCTGCAACTTTGGTGCCCTGGCTGCTGTGAATGGGGTAGGGTTTGGTGCTGAACAACAATAATAATGAACGCTTGAAACACTTAGATGCCCAGTGCTGTTCTAAGGACTTTACATGTATAAACCCACTTAAGATCCATAACAAGCCCCGGGAAGTAAGTGCTATCCTCATCACAAATTACAGATGAGGAAATTGCAGGCACCTGCCTAAGTACCTTGAGTTAACTCACTTGCTCAAATTGACCCAGTTAGTAAGTGGAGGACCCAGGCAGCCGGACTTCAGGCCTCCTTTGGGTCAGGTGCCTGCCTTTTTGTTAGATAAGAGAGGGAAAGGCTGCCAACAACAGATCCACCAGCTTGTTGTTGGTTGCTGCTAAGTCGGATGGACTCATGGAGACCCTATGTATAACGATGAAGTGTTGCCCAGTCCTGCACCATCTTCAAGATCATTGATATATGAGTCCATTGTTGTGACTATTGTGTCAATTCTTCTTATTGAGAATTTCCCTCATTTTCTCTGACCTTCTACTTTACTAAACATGATGTCCTCTTCTCTACATTTTGGTCTTTCCTGACAGATGTATCCAAAGTAAGTGAGCTGACATCTCACCATCCTTGCTTCTAAGGTCCATTCTGATTGTATTTGTTCTAAGACTGATCTGTTCATTCTTTTGGTAGTCCACATGCATTGCACATTCAGGTTGCCCCAAAATTCCAAGCAGAAATAAGACTGCTAGGATGCGGATGCCACTCAACGGCATCAACCAGTCCGTGGTGCTTCGCCCATGCGGTATGATCGAGCTGTACACACAAGACACAAAGTGTTGCCTAATGAAGCTTGTTTATTATTTACAGGAAGCAGCTTATTTTGATTTATAGATAATATGACCAAAGTAACCATCCAGAATCCTTTGCCCATTTATCCTTTCTCTTGTAAAACTCCATGCTTCTCTGAGTCAAGAGTCATTGCATTGGATCACACTTCTATTGACACCAATTCATGGTATCAGATCAGTCCAGCGAACTCTCAGCTTCCCTTCACTAGTCAGTCCAGACCCCAGCTGCTCCATACAGCCCTTTCTCTCGCCCAGGGCTAGGTCAGTGGGTACTAGCCGCAAAGTAGGGAGTTCACTCCACTCCGGGTACTTTAAACCAGCCAGCCCCACTACTCCCTTAGGTTCGATAATTTGTTGCAATGACTCACCAATGCCTGGAAAAGGGCCTGCTCTAACTCAACAAAGAAAGGATACAAACACAAAAAGGATATATGGGAAGGGATGCACCGGCAAGGTCAGGAGGGAGTCTTCATTTGGGTCAGGAGGGAGTCTTCATGTGGAACTTCCTGTCTCCGGGGATGCCATGTCCCCAGAGGTGTGTGGTCCTCCCACGTGCATCATTAATCCAAAAGCTCCCAGGAGTTTCT